ATCTTTTTTTTTTTTTTTTGGTTGTTTGTTGTTGTTTCCTGTGTGAATAATTTTTGCTGTAATCTCAAATTTTTTGTGTGTTCGTTTTTACACTTGTTTGAGAAAAAAAGGTATTTTATATTGTTTGCAACAGCAAAAACTAAAATGAAGTTCTATGAACTGAAAAATTGTAGGATTTTATACTGGTTTTTAATCACTTTTCTTTTTCTTTCTTTTTTTTTTTTTAAGTTTATCGGTACTATCATTTTATTGCCTTCTGAACATTTATGATGTATTTTAGATGGTACAAGTGCAATGTTACCTGCAACCAAGGTGTTATAAAAAATTTGACAAAAATCTGCAAATTCTGTCCATGAAAATAAACTGAACTTTTCATGTGGGCAAAACTATTTGACTAAGAGACCTCATGCCTGTTATAACATTTCAGTGTACTCTGACCAAACTTGTTGAAGTCTCATTAAGATGAGTTGGACTGTTGGCGCCAAGCCATACGCTCATTCACACCAGCTTCAGGAACCTTTTGAACTACAAGCTTAGTGGAAATTATTAGACCATTTACTGTAAGAGTCTTAATATACTCTTGTTTTCCTATATGCCCACGATTAAGTGCTTGCCACAGTTTCATATGCTAGTATTTCCCTCAGTTAGTCCCTTTATAGTTTATTTTCCTTAAGCATTAATGTAAAATGTATATTAAATGTACGTTAGTAGTTAACTGAACAAATTAGCATCACTCCTTCGCTGCAAAAGCAGATGAATGATCTCATCCATTAAGGTACCTTGAGACTATTGCATTTTTAAGAGGTTATTTCACTCTCTAACCCCTGTTGTTAGACTTCACCCGTAGTGAAATGTTCAAACATAACTTTCTTTCTTCACTCTGCTCCTTGTAAAATCTGACTAGAGTTTTAACATTTTAATGACGTTTAGTCCTGTCAGACACACCACTGGGACAGGCCAATTTTGCTTAATAGTTCCCTTACGGTCTTCTAAATGCCTGTATGAAGGATCTGTCCCCAACTTGATTGGAAATGGTTTTAATGTATGGTATATGTACCCGCCGCACTTTGGCAGTTCTGCGTATTATATTTCCACTCGTGACAGGAAAGCAGAAAAACACTTTACTCTTAGGATGTAAATGACATCTCCATTTAACAATGAGATTATTCATCTTTGTGTGCGCTCATCTGTTTATGTTTGGGTTGCTCAAATCCAACAGATTTTTGATACATCACCTTTTGAATGATGTTTTCTGAAGCTGCGATGTGATAAGTTGCAGCTGCTGTTTTAATTATTGGTACTG